AGTCCTTCCACTGTGGGGCACCGGGTTGTTATGAGCTGATGGCAGGAGCTTGTGCGCTCCACCCAGTAATCCGAAGGCTCTGATCGACATTGCTAGGAAATGTGCTAGTGAGGCAGTTTGAGGAGCCGCATTTCTTCACCCTTTCGGGAGGCGGCCGGGCTGGAAAGAGTTACTCCTGTGCTCCGCTGTGTGCCCAAAGGTGTCTCCTTACTTTTAGCCCTGTGGCCTCACAAACACCACACCGCAGTCAGCAGTCAGCGTAGGGCACAGGGGTCATTCGCTGGAGAGCAGACGCGCAGCAAAACTGCATCGTGTTTAGAATACTTGGCTTTCTGTATGGCTGTCTCTTTTCCTTTATGGCGTGAGAAACCTGGGAATATTATTGACTTTGCCAATCTCCCGGGTCCTCAATTCCTACTTTCCTTAAACTCACCCACAGATAGAAAAATCCAGCAACGACAGCAATAAAAGCGTGTCCTCGTTTTGCTTCCCATTGAGCTGCCAATAACTTGGCGTTAAAATCTAGGTCATAGGGAGCTCTTGGAAGAATAGGGCTGACAGTAAGGGAGAAGCTACATTTTGGTGAGTAGAGACAACTAATGCTGCCTCCCATCTCCTGACTTTTTGTTTCTAGTATCAGAGCTTCTGCACTTTAGAGAATTATATGTAAAGCAGATTAAACTTTAGAACCAGGGGACATCCTCCCCCCACCCCCCGTGTTTAATTACTTCCTTAAACCCTCATTGTACACAGTTTGTAATATTTTTTTTGTTAGTGAGTCTTGTGCCTCTTTCAATATTTCAATTGAAATATATTTAATGTTAATATTGCTGTATGTTTGGAGCCCTCACAACTTGTGGGGTGCCTGGGGCTGAAGAAAGTTAGAAATAGTCTTTTCTTCATTTGATTCTCTATACATTAACTCAAAGCTGTTTTTAAAAACAACATTTATATATTTTAGATTTCCTGATTTTATTTCCTTCATGTCTTTGCTTTTAAGCAGATTTATTAATGCATATTCTTCCCTCCCCTTTTTAAATTGTTTTTAAGTGATATACCAGATTTTAATACTAAAAATTAGTATTTTTATTCTATATCTGTTATTGAGAGCCGTGCCATTCAAAAGGCGGTCTGTGCACCTTCTGCCACCTCCCAGTCATTGAGAATCTACAGTTTAACAAGATCCCCAGTGAATTTGTGAAGCCCTGATTAGGAGGATCAAAGCCCATTTAGTGCACTCCTTGTATGAGAAAAGAGAAGGGAACCATAGGGCTGCAGGGTGTTTAAGCTCAGGCATAGGCTACCTCGTTGAATCCAATTGTGATTTTAGCCTCACAACCTTCTAGGAGGAGCTTTGCCATATCCTGATGGCACCTGTACTGCTAATATTTAGTTAGTAATATTTCTTGCCCTCTTTTATAGAATTGCTTTTGTTAACATAATTTTTTAACAGGGAACATTATATCACTACTGTAAAAAAAAAAAAGTTTTTTCGTATGCATTTAAATAAACGCCTATTTTAAAGCACTGTATGTTCACCGGGTGCCAGGCCGCAGGCATCACTGTTCTAGGCCAGTGGTCGGCAAACTCATTAGTCAACAGAGCCAAATATCAACAGTACAACGATTGAAATTTCTTTTGAGAGCCACATTTTTTAAACTTAAACTATATAGGTAGGTACACTGTTATTAACTTAATTAGGGTACTCCTAAGGCTTACGAAGAGCCATACTCAAGGGGCCAAAGAGCCACGTGTGGCTCTCGAGCCGCAGTTTGCCGACCACGGTTCTAGACCATACAGATTATGATGATATGGATAAAGAAAGGACGAAAGAACAAAGTACTTAATCTTAAAGATGAGAAACTTCAAAAGATCAAAATCCAATGAACTGAAAATACTGCCTAGGACCTATCCCCTGATACTCCATGCTCGGTCCGGTCAGCCTGCAGTCGAGGCCAGGCGTCTGCATTTCAAAACAGCACAAGTGATTCTGATGCATAGCCAGGTAGAGAGCCCGTCCAGCAAGACCTGGAGAGGAAAGGGTGGGATCTCTGTCATAAGCCCCGTCAAAAACCACTGCTATCCCACAATGACTTGTAACTCACAATAGTGGCCACTGGAGGGTCTGGGGAGGCTTAGAAATTAACAGTGCATTCAGTCATTTAAGTACAGGTCCCCATTGGTGGGTTTTCTCAGTTGAATCAGGAGCTAGTATTGCCTCAGAATCATAAACACATAGGATTTAAGAGCTGGAAGACTGATACACCAAGGTTGTGGGTTCAATCCCCAGTCAGGGCACATACAATACTCAATCAATGAATGCATAAGTAAGTGAACAACAAAAACAACACTCTCTCTCTCCTTCCCCCTCCCTTCCTCTCTTCCTCTCTCTAAAACACAATAAATAAATAAAATGTTTTTAAAAGAGCTGGAAGAGAGGCACAGTATATTGCTTATCACTTTCACTGTAAAAGATTCAAATACGAGTAATTTTCTGCAGGAGGACTATACATGTGGTTATTAAAAATTTCCCTAAAATGCCTGCATGTATAGAAAATGGCTGGTGTTTAATTTTTTAAAGCATTCTACAGCAAGTACTCATTTTTAAATTACACTTAAGGAACGGAGCAATTTTAGTGAGCTCCATGGCCAAGAACATGAACCAGAATATGCAGCTGTTGTGACCTATTTATATTTAAAGCTGGTAGATGAGTTAGGTCATCCTGATATTAGAAGAGAGAAGGGTATTTGAAGGTAAAGTAGGTCAGTTGTAGAACAGATCATAGATTTGGGAGGAAACAAACCATTTTGTCTCTCTTCCAATATCTTCTTAGCTTAGCTTTTGAGAGTGGGGAGCAAGATGTAGAGAACACTGGGCCTCCCTCATTTCGAGCATCAGGGGGCCTGATTTGAGTCATATTATATTAGCTGTTTCTTACAGTTCTGTGTCATCCACAAATGTTTAAGTCGGGTCATCTTCTACACCCTCATTCAAACTGTGCATAGACCATTGAACAAGTTGGGGCCAAGGACATAGTTACCCTAATGTGGGCGGCCTTCAGTGTTAGGCGAGTAGGGTGACTGGCCATCCTGGTTTGCCTGAGACTGAGGCATTTCCTAGGTCGTAGGACTTTAATACTAAAACCAAGATAGTCCCGGGCAAATCAGGGCTGTTGGATGTCCCAGGCATGGATTCGTCAGCGGCTCCAGCCCACATGCAGCTCTATTTCTTCATGTTATAAAAAGCGTATCATGAGAAATGTTCAGTGCCCTGCCGCTGGGGTACACACTAAAGCCAGAGAGGGCATTTGCTGCCAGTTAAGAAGCTCCATCAGAAAAGCAACGAGGTTACTTGGCTTGGCTGGTTCTTGGTGAACCCCAATGCTGACTCCCAATGCTTAAAGCCCATAGGCTTCTGTTTCGTAACCTGTTGTTGGTAAGAATTTTGCACCTTAATTTGTGTTTGAAGCAAATGTACTTATTTGGCGGTTCCCATGTTGTTTTTTCCTTTCCAATAGTCATACCCATCTAATTACATGGAGTCCATAAAGCCCAGCAAGTATGGAGTCATCTACTCCACACCATTAGCCGACAAGTTCTTTCAGACCCCGGAGGTCCTGTCGCACGGGATGCAGATGGAGCCGGTGGACCTGACCGTCAACAAGCGGAGTTCACCGCCCTCGGCTGGGAATTCTCCTTCCTCACTGAAGTTCCAGTCCTCGCACCGGAGAGCCTCGCCCGGGTTGAGCATGCCATCGTCCAGCCCGCCCATGAAAAAGTACTCACCCCCGCCCCCGGGAGTGCAGCCCTTCAGCATGCCGCTGTCCATGCCGCCAGTGATGGCCGCTGCCCTGTCCAGGCACGGAATTCGGAGCCCGGGGATCCTGCCGGTCATACAGCCCGTCGTGGTGCAGCCCGTCCCCTTCATGTACACCAGTCACCTCCAGCAGCCGCTCATGGTGTCCTTGTCCGAGGAGATGGAAAACTCGAACAGTAGCATGCAAGGTAAATTTCAGAATCTCCAGTGTCTTCACCAGACAGCCTGGGGAGGGTGAAGAAAGCAGAGCCAAGCTCTTCAAAGGAAATATCCCAGTTAGAGTCTGCCTGAGGCATTTCCTTTTGTGTGTGTGTTTTTTGCCTTAAAGTGTTGATACTGGAAGAGCTCCCAAGAATCAGGCTGTCTGTTTAAAGCTATGAAATGATTACTTTCACTATATAATTGTCAACTTTGGGCTGGCAAGAATCTTGACTTTACATTTTGCTTCTTGGAATGCCAATACGGTTCTAGGTGCAAAGAGGCATTTAATAAATACCTTTAGATCATGGTGATTACTCAGGGCTATTAAAAGCACCTTCTTTATTAGAGTGGTCATGGTCAGAAGACGGGTTAAAAGGAGATAATAAAAAGTCATAAGGAAGAATCATTTGGGGGCTGGTGTCTTTAAAAGTCCAGTTTCCTAGGTACACTGCTTACTGGCAAAATAATGGGCCAGAGAAACAAGAACCCCCTCAGATTCATTGCTGCTCTGATTTGCCAAAGGCAGATAAATAGTCACACATCAGTGTTATAGATGGGACCCTGTGCAATAAGCTTTTTTACAAGCTGAAGTTGGTATATTGTACACACAGTGACTTTTCTATTTTTATTTTTTTAGTACCTGTAATTGAATCATATGAGAAGCCTATATTACAGAAAAAAATTAAAATAGAACCGGGGATCGAACCACAGAGGACAGATTATTATCCTGAAGAAATGTCACCCCCTTTAATGAACTCAGTGTCCCCCCCGCAAGCATTGTTGCAAGAGTAAGTATATTTAGGTCTACCCAGCATTTGGGTAGCAGCATGCATCTCGGGACCTGGAATGGAAGCCCAAGCTTCCAAGGTGTGGTGTGTGGATCGCCAGGAATGCCCTGTAGCATGTGGCAGCCACGGGGCAAGATGAGGGGATCTCTCCAAAAACAATGCTCTGTTACACGGACAGCATTATGACAATGAGTTCCAGTTACCACTGAGTTGGTCACCCATGATTTTGCCACCTTACCACACATATTGTTTTTATCTTATTTGTTCCCTCTTCCAGACTCCACACATAGTTTTTCCAGAATCTTAATCCCACCGTGGATTGAATCTGGTGTTCTAAATATTCACGGTTGAATCATGAAAACTCCATATGGACCCATGTTGTACTCCTACTTGTCACTTCCAATAGAGTCTCCTGTCTCCAGGATGAGGAATGTCTTGCATTAAAATCTTCAGGCCAACCACAAGCCCAAGAAAGTCACTCCCAAATAAGTCCTGTAAACAAGTGGTGGCAACAGAAATTGACCATGTAGCTCAGAGAAGCCCAGCCATGACACAGCTTATTCTCTAGTCGCTTAAATCCTGCCTGCCCCTAGAATGTTCCGTCTGCTTTGGGACTGCCATGGAGGGGAAAGTTCAGGCTGTGTTGGTCAGCAACCAAATACCTGAACGGTGGTTTGTTTTACATCTAACTTGCTGTAATATGACAGTGCCACACGCAGGTTAAATAATACCACTGATGGGATTGCCACTGTAGGTAACCTTGAAGCTTACCAGTGATGACGCTGGAAGCTGTGTTTGAAGTAGTTCAGAAACTGGCCTTTGGGTCTGACATCTTGGATCCCAGCTCCACTCCCTACCATATGTATGACTTCGGGCTAATCGCTTAATCTTGTTGCCTCTTTCCTCTCTATTTTCATTATTGGCCATAATTATTTTTCTTACTCTAATTGTCTTGTGTTCTGGTGCTTTTCACATTGGATTTAGTGGCCAGCTTCTTAGTACTGAGGCAACAATTGCCTCCCAAATCACTTTTCTCCAACTTAAACACATGTTCTGCCCACCTGGCTACTTGATCTTCTCCACCCCTCTCCCCTAAACAGTTAATAATTCTGCAACAGAATATGAATTCTCTGATTTTACTGGAATTCCAAATATTATCATTGTATCCACATTCAACCCAAGTAGATGCCCTTATAGTAGCTCATGTATTAATTGCCCAGTGAACCAAATCACAGTCAATTTCTGTTGTTGTCATATACTTGCTGGTAGGTGGAGAATGAATTTTCTTGCCCAGCCACATTGATAATAGAGTGTCTGATGGACTTGTACATTACTGCTTTTCAAAATTGCATCCCCTCCACCTCCAAAGGAAACTTTTCCAACTTTTATTCTCCCATAACAAGCATATGGGAGACAGGAAATGGAGAACTGAGGAGCCAGACATTAGATAACTCGCCTGTAATCACACTGTTCACAGCAAGAGGGGCCTGGGCTTGATCTCCTGCACCCGGATGAGGGCTCTTCCTGCCATTTTTAACCCATATCTAGCTGATTGCATCTGCGCATGCACTCGAGTGAAAGGAGAAAACAAACGATCCAAAACGGATACATCGTGTAGGCTGCACTGCTGCTTTTATTTATGATGACAGGTGTCTCTGGCAAGGTAACTGGCAATATGACTTGCACTTGTAATTGTTCCTACACAGATGATGGAAAAGATGCTCTAAAGCCAATTGCCCCCATAGGGAGCGATCCATTGACTGAAAGGGGTTATTCCAAAGCCCAGGTTATTATGAATTACAGTGTGAAGCATTATGGTATTTGAAAGCAATAAGCTGTGCCCTGAATGCTGCTGAAGATAAAATACTTTTTCTCTTCTTTCTTATTTTAAGTAATGTTCTTTGGATAATCTCAAGCTGGATGGCTTTTAATGATTAATGAGCAAGATGCTTAGTCTAATGCTGACCTAAGAATGCATTTTGCTTCTCAAAAAACTCAACAGATTAGCCACAACTGGGACATGTACTCTCCAAGTGATTTTCTCACAGATGTGATTAAGTAATGTCTTGGAGTGTGCCCAGTAGCAGCCCCCATAGGAAACCAGCTAGCCAGGAAGGAATCATTGGAAACCAAGCGTCTAGTAGCATTATGATGAGGCAGCCCCAATATTTGCCTCAAGAAAACCTTTCTTTAGAGGCAGACTTCAAAACACAGCTTTGAAATCCATTTGCTTGACCATAGAGCTACTTGCTCTACAATTACTTGTAAAGGCACTCAAGTGTATATCAGATTGCTTCTGCTGTATATTTGCATGTGTGAGAATGTATAACAAACAGCTTAAGAAGAAAAAATCAAACAGCTTAAGGATCAGGTTGTTCCATTTAGTTGTATATATGATTGGTAGCAAACTTGAGAGGTCGGCTTAGCTCAAAGCAATGACCAGGTCTCCGATATTTAATAGCTGTTCTAACTCCTTGGTTGTAATGTTCCCAAACGGCCTCTTTTAAAATGAGTAGTGAGGAGGCCAAGAAGGGTGAGATCCCAAGATCCTGATCTCTAGCCTCAGCCTGTACTAACATCTGGCTCTTTAGAGATGGGGCTGCTCACCACCCTCAGAATGGTGGTGCCTTTCGAGGTAGATGTTAGCTGGTATAGAGATTTCCTGATCCGGTGTGGAGACATTAAAAGAACAAAACAACACGCTTCATGAAATTAAACAATGTAGGGGCTACATTTACAAATAGATTTCAGAACCTTGAATTATGAACAGCTACCGTTGAGTAGATTTACATCTGGAACAGATATTGTTCTCTTTTTTTAAAAAAAAAATATTTTTTACTTTAGAGAGAGGGGCAGGGAGAAGAGGAAGAGAGAAACATTAATTGGTTGCCTTCTGTATGTGCCTCAACCAGGGACTGAACCGAAAACCCAGGCATGGGCCCTGGCCTGGAATCAAACAGGCAACCTTTCCGTACACAGGACAACATTTAACCACTGAGCCACTCCGGCAGGGCCACGTATTGTTCTTAAATGCTTTGTGTACATTACTCACAACCACCTTCCGAGATCGTATCATCCTCCCCATTCCACAGAGTGGATATCAACACCTTGCCCCCAGGGTCCCAGGGTCCCAGGGTCCCAGGGTCCCAGGGGCTATCTGCTCCAGAGCGGGACTGTCAGCTGGGACTTAAGCTGGAGCACACAGCTCTTTAGCATACCTTTATGCACACAACAAGCAACTGGAAAACACATTCCTTAACTACTGCACAGAAACGATTAGGCTGATTCGCAACCCATAAAATCTAACAATTGGGAGAGACTTCTAAAATCATCTAATACTCTTTTCAGTATCCCAGAGCATATGAGATACATTTAATCATTTTTTTCCTCAGAATTTTATTTCCTGAAGGTCTCTTAGTGAAGATGAAACATTTTCAATCAGTGGGATTAAAGTTGAAAGTTAAAAATAAACTGATAACCTTTTCCTTTTTATTGAAGAATTTTAAATTGATAAAAAAAAAAAAACTATATCTGTTCATAAACTTCTCACTTCTCTATTTTCTCTGTATATTTATAAAATTTAAGTCTTGTCTTTTTCCCCCCTCACTAGGTCATGTTCACTTTTCTATGTATTTAAACTTGGCCATTTGTTTTTCTGTATCGCCCCTCTAAGGATCAGGATAGGAAGGTAAAGTGACAGTTGTCTTTGCTAATAATAAAAGTGAGAAAATGTGAGGTCATTTAAATACAGCTTTGATTTTCTTCTAGTTGCTTCCTAGCATGCCTGAAAAAGTTACTGATAAAAGACATGTATTTAAATTTTAACCAAGATAAAAAATCAAGTTTCATTTCACGGATTCCCTTTTGATTTATATAATTAAATTTTATTATCTTTTTTTTAAATCTCATTAAGTTCCTTTTTTCCTTCTCACCAATCTTTTTTCTCCCTTTGCACACTTGTGTAAAACATTCATATGTTATGTGGAACATCTTAAGAACTTTAGGTTCAAATTTTTAAAAATACATTTTTTTTTATTGATTTCAGAGAGGAAGGGAGAGGGAGAGAGAGGTAGAAACATCAATGATGAGAGCGAATCATTAATTGGCTGCCTTCTCCATGCCACACTGGGGCTCAAGATCACAACTTGGGCATGTGCCCTGACCAGGAATTGAACCATAACCTGGTTCATAGGTTGACGCTCAACCACTGAGCCCCACCGGCCCAGAATTAGGTTCAAATTTAAAAGAAAAGTCTTTTGTTATAGTTGGAGGCCAACTACATAACTTTGTAATGTTTCAGGTAGTTGGTCATTAGGAAAGCAAATGAATGGGTTAAAATGAATGAATGGGTTAGAAATTTTAATTAACATTAATCAGCAGAAGTCTGGGAAAACTACAGACCTTTCCCAGCTCTTTCCCATCTGCCTTTTCTCTCCAACTACCTTTCTGAAAAAGAAGTCCACAGTAATGATGTTTAACATGATTTGATTTATGCAAATGCAGGATATGAGTCTGGGTGAGAGCAATCAGGGAGGTAGGGAGAATGTCAGGGGTCCCTGAGAGGGCTGACCTACAGTGTGGTTGCCTGAGACTTAGGAATCTGACCTTTCCCTAAAGAACAATAAATAAAAGTAAGGATGGCCTGTGAATAGTAGTAGAGTGTCCAGCATTACCTAGGGCCACAACATTCTATAAACAGGCAAATTTTTATTGAGGCAAAGAGACTCCTAGCACTTTGCACCTCCCTGCAGCGTAGCACCTAACTCTTCTTACTGTCATTACTTATCTACATGTCTGTCTCCCCCTAGAGTGTGAGCTCCTCGAGGGCAGGAACCCTGTTTTTATTCATCTTTGTGTCCCGGTGCCAAGCACAGTGCCTGGCTTATGGTAGGTGCTCACTCAATGTTTGTTGAATGAATATAGCAGTGCTTCTTGGGTTGATGAGCTAATTTCTTTTTGTTTATTTCGTTGGGTTTTGTTTGTTTTTGCCCAGTGTTGTTAATGCTTTTGATAGAGTAAAGAAAAGGAAGAGCCTTCCACTCAACATTTTGCATTTAACGTTGCCTTTCACAGGAATCACCCTTCAGTCATAGTACAGCCGGGGAAGAGACCTTTACCTGTGGAATCTCCAGACACCCAAAGGAAGCGAAGGATACACAGATGTGATTATGACGGATGCAACAAAGTGTACACTAAAAGCTCTCACTTGAAAGCACACAGAAGAACACATACAGGTATCAGAAATATAAGACTCACTTTCTTCCTAAGAATTAGACTACAAGGTTAAGTCAGAGGTTATTATAATGAATTTTTTTCAGGCATCTGAAAGTTACCATAGTCATTTATAGATGTCTCTGTCATGATAGATGAAGTATTTTGTTATGATTTACTTTTGTAATAAGTAGAATAGATTCAAGGTCATCGCTGTAGGAAGGTCAATCACTTGTCGTTCTGCACTCTGCAATGAAGGAGAGAGAAGGGGATGGATCCTCCGGTGGAACAGAGGGGAGAGTGCTCTTAACTGTGGGCCGATTTCACCAGGATGTGGTCTTCCTATGGGCTCTTCTATGGCAAATGTACATCAAGTTCACAATAGTAAAAATCAGCTCTTTACGCAGAACAAATAAATGCAGCAGTTTATAGAAGCTGAATTTGGGTAAATCCTCGCTTCTAAAACTGAGGGAACGTCTATGTGATTGCCTGCCATATTTGTTCTAGAATATTTTCCATCGTGCCCAGTCTCGAATACAGAGTGTGCAGCCAGATCTTATGAAAATTGTTGTATAGGTGAAGAAAACATGAAATTGTTCCATGGGCTCTTCAACATTTTGTAGCAAAGTATCTTAAGGAAATTGTGTGAAAATGTTGTAAACAATCCGATTAATTGTAGTAAGTACTGGTGATTAATGTTTACTATAGGTCACATCTGACCCAACCTCAGACTCTTCAGTATGAAATTCTAGTGTGATAGGGATTCGCCTCTGTATACATTGTTCTTAACTCAGGATGTAGATTATTTTTTTTATTCTTATGAGTCATTCTTATGAGGAATATTTAAACAGAAGACTCTGGTATTTGGAGAAAAAAAAGGGCAGGAAAGTGTCTAGCACAGTGGAAGTGAGTTTTTCATTGAATTCTGGGAGAGGAAGCCAGGGAAAATCAACCTACCTACAGCTTGCATTTAGAGGAACACCCAATCACCAAACCTATGTCAAATAGATTCGTAAAAGCATCTCCAGGAGATTAATGGGACAACCCTGAGGTGGATGCTACCCGATTCCAGCCTGAGATTAAAAAGACCAAATTGAATGTTTGTGTAACAATTCAGATGTGGGCAAAATACCTCTTAGCATTTATATTCTGTGCTGCAAAGCAGAGAATACAAATTCTGAATATCTCATTGAAGTGCCAAGGAATGGTAGTCTATAAGGTTTCTAGAGAACAAGGGATAGAAATTAGTTAGTGGTGCCCATTACCTATTTTTACTAATTTAAACATGGAAGATAGCCATTAACAGCCTTTTCATTTGTGAGGGTCTTCCTGATGGCTCTCCCTAGGGTGTTCTCACAAGGGTCTTCTGTCCTCACCTGCAAATGACCCTTACCCCACAGGAGGGGTGGGAGACACCCGGCTGTAACAGGGTGGGGAGGCATCACTATAGTGTTAGTACTTCCGGATTAAAGCATTATACTTAGGCATAGTTATTATCCATTAAACAAAAGCTAAGATGTTGAAATCTCCAACAGATATTTCAGTTGATAGAGACTTCAGATTTTTTTTTTTTTTTTTAAAGAGAATTAATGTTTTCTTGCTTGTCCTGTAGTGGTTTATAAGATACTGTTACTGAGGGACAAATGGATAAACATACCTTGGAAATAATATATGTCAAGAGCTTTAGCTCAGACATTTGAATATTACTGCCTTTACTAATTATCAGTCTTTTTCTATCAGAAAAAAAATAATAGAATAAGCTCTTTTCACTTTCTTTTTGCAGGAGAAAAACCTTACAAATGTACGTGGGAAGGATGCACATGGAAGTTTGCTCGGTCTGATGAACTAACAAGACATTTCCGAAAACACACTGGAATCAAACCTTTCCAGTGTCCGGACTGTGACCGCAGCTTCTCCCGTTCTGACCACCTTGCCCTACATAGGAAACGCCACATGCTAGTTTGAATGTCTCCGTCTCCGCCTCAGCACGCGGCTCCCCACTCGCCCAGCTCTCTCTGTCCTCCCTCCCGTTGTCTAACTCATTTTTTACATGTACATTTTAATTTTGATTCAGCTGGTCTGAATCTCTGAATTTATATCAGTCAAACTTCCATATGGTCAGTAGTAAATATTCTCTAATCCTCCCTCCTTACCACGGGTCAGACCTAAAGAATGTGAACACTTTTTTTTTTCCGGGGATGCTAAGCAAACCCTTCTTACAGATAAGTTTAATGTAATGAGAACAAGGGAACGTGTAAACAAACAGAACCAGTTGTTGGTTTGTCCATGTATTCCTCAAAAGAATGTCAAAAGTAAATGTGTTAGAAATACAGTATCCAGCCTGCTAGTCCTTGCCAGAGACAGTCACACCTCTGAACCCTGTGGTTGCATTTTGTGCTGCACCGAGTAAAGACGGGTGGACCCCTGCACAGGTCAGCTAGAAGGGCAGCAAGATTCCAGGCGAGTACAGTCAGCTCTTCCATTATCCTTCACCAATCTTGCTTGTCAAGTTGGATTTATCACTTCATCGACATTAAGTCCTTTACCCTCCTTCGTGCCTGCAGCTAATAAGGAGGACTTTGCCACCAGTGGAAGATAAGCTAGAGTTGTTGATGTAGGGAGGTGATCTGTCAGTTCAAGGGATGGAGGCTGTATTTGCATCGCATGGAGTTGGAGCAAAGGGGCATTGAGCAAGGGGGCAGAGGAGGAAGCCAGCCAGGGGTTTTCAGTGAGATTTCATCATTTGGTTAGCTGTGCAGTGCGTTCCTAGAACTTCGGTCTCTGCATATTCAACTGTGCAGGACCGTCCAGCAAAGCCAAATACTGATGGGGTTACCCATGTACCGACCTCCAGTCCTACAGTGTCCTTAATATAGATCATCAAGCATTGAGAGTAGGGACGCCACAAAAATATTTGCCCAGTAATGGTGAAGAATCTTTTGGATGGGGGTCTGAATGGCCTTCTTTACCAAACCTACTGAGAGCCTTTTTGCAAACAGGGAAACGTTGAGTGGTAATTATATTCCCATATCAAATTACTCACATAGCTTTCATACAGAAAGTCTGTGTGAGTGACAAGGTGCCAAATTGGCTGTCATTGATGTTCATGACACATATCACAGATAAGCATCTGCTAAGTAGATTCATTAAGACCTGAGTGACGCTATTTGTAAATAGTTGTGAAGCACACAGACCTTTACTGGGGGGGGACAGATTCCTAAAAAATAGAAAATCACCGTTCAGGGATTCATAGATGTAGCTCAACAATTCCCAAAGTTTACTGTCGGAGCTGGCACTCTCACTACCAAGTATCCTGTCAGAACAAACTGAAAATGACTCGTGTTCATGTTCAAGACAAATAGCACCGTTATTTGGGGGACATTTCTCAAAAGTAGGCTTTTGAGCATCATAGTCTAAATGCCAATAAAAATAATTCATATGTAGAAATGCCTTGGTTCTGAATTTGAAGAAAGTGGCAACGGTGGTCAAAAGTGGGCACATGTGACCAAGTGCCCCTTCATAAAGGATGGAGAAGAGAAGAATGGCATCCTGAAGATTCGTCTGAGCCACAACTCAGGATCCAGTACAACTTGAACTGGGAGGAATACGCTGTTTTCAAAGCATCAGTGAAGAAGTGATTCTGGAGGCCTGCGAATTGTGTGGGGAGCTTACTTTGGCGCTGTGTCAATGAAAGTAGTTGTAAGGACTGCACACCTAGAGGTCCCACTCAACAGCTCTCTGAACCAACTGAAAGGAAATGTACAGAAATGCAAAATAATTTGTTATCTGGCACTTGGTTTTTACTTTTTTTTTAAGCACTGCAAAATTCATTTAGAATATTAAAACATCCTAATTGGGCCTTTTCTTTGTTGTTGTGTGTTTGGTTGCAACTAAGATATGAATTGAGGGATTTAAAAAAATAGCTCTTGGGAAAGTAGGTATTGTCTGTATTGTAAATACTTCGTCACATTCATGCCAAAGTGTTTATTTCTTGAAATGGTTCTTCCACAACACACCGAAGAATTAAGTTTGAATGCAAGGGACTTTTTTTTGTTTTGATGGAGAAAACCAGTTTATGTATATTCTAACCACAGAAGGTGGGAAGGGGGATGAGAAAGGGTAGAGTTGATCTTTCTTATAATGAGCTTTGAGTCTGAGTCCAATTAATAGAAAGCTTCATGGGTTCTGATGAAATTTAATGTTTGCTATGGCATATCAAAATTCTGTTCAAAAGTACAAGCAAAACCCTGCAGAGGCTATTACATTATACTTAGCTTGCTTAGATTATGTTAACAGTTGATTAACAAAGTTCCATTTTAACTGAAAGAACCATCCAGAGAAGCCATCATTCTCTGTTCCCTTGCTGGTCTACATACTTTTGTTACCAATTGGCTCTCCAAATTTTCCTTTTACATATATATATATATATTTGTATCTTACTTTCATAGTTGAGAAATTTAGTTTCTTAGTCGTTTATAGCTGTTATTGTGGGAGACCTCAAATAAGATAAGATGCCCTTGAGTGTGTGGTTTTAGTGATGTGCCATCTTACTATCAATGGCGATTTTAATTGCAATATTCAAGTTGATGAGGATGATTTGTAAGCATGGAGCTAGTGTATAAATTGTTA